ATCGAAGCACTTTTACTGCCCCAAAACGTGATGACAGACATAAAAAAAAATTTTTWAAAAAACACACACATCATGGTAAAATAACAAAAATAAAATAATATAATAATATGTGATTATTATTATGTTATTGTGAGTAGATAGCAATTAATAATGTATGAATACAATGAATGCATAAAATACCTTATACGTTAATATTTACACGGAGTACACGATTTTGTCGAAAATGGTTTTTCATAAAAAATCAAGTATTTCTTTGATTTATTTTTATTTTTCCTGATTATTAAGAGAATTAGTCGCTGAAACTTTTAATTTTTTTAGATTAGACTAATTATTTTTTAGATAAAATTAGTTATTGGAATAATATAATATTTATTAAATACTTTATTCTACGTATCAGGCCTAGAAACCTTGCAACCTTATAATTGCCCGTTGCTTACATGGAAATGTTAGCAATGTTAGTGATTGCCATTATATACATTCATATATTTATATCAATTCAATTTGTARGTATAAGATATAAATATAGTAACTTTATACAAATTTCCTGAATTTTTTTCTTAAATATTGATCAACAGAAATAAATCCGTTAGGTAGGTTATACCGTGATTCGAGATGTGTTCGAGACGTGTTCTGTGGTATGTGAGAATATAACAACACTGTCAGAGATTGTGGACCGCGTCATCAGGACTTTCCACTGATTCACATGTTGATGCGCACTGAAATGTAAAAAAACATATGTAAACAATTACTAGCTGTTGCTGTGAAGAATTAATATGCAACAGTACCTTCGTTACTACGTTACGATACGTTAGTGTCCGTTTACAAAGCAACAAATCTAACAGTCTAACACATAATACTAAATATTATTTATTGGGTACGTACTATTTAACACTAAAATATAATATAATATGCGGTCAACCGTTAAACGTCACTTAAACATAATATTTTTTATTTACTTTAATCTTCTATACCTTCTAATTCAGAAATTGGTTCATAAAATAGCGGTTAGTTTTGAATATATTTATATCTACACGACTACACGCAATGCTGTATTTCTGTGTGAATATCATGATTTATTCCGATTTTTTATCTCCTAGCCAAAAAAAAAAAACAAAAAGAAACTCTAAAATATTATTCAGTATCATAAAGTAGGTAGTTGAGAAAAAAAAGTTACTAGATATTAGTTTACTTTGCATGTAAATTTATAGTTTTGGTATAATAAATATTGTACCCAATAAGAACCTTTATTTTTGCTTATCATTAAATGATTGTGAGTTGTGACAGTAATGAATTAATGGAGATACTTATTGTAAATAACTCGGAAAAATATCGCATCTAACTTAACCATTTAATAAAATATTTAACCAAGTAACATAAATATTAAATTGTATCTAGATATATTTTTATATTGTTATTCGTTATGTATCTACTGGTTACAATCTAATATCTATAATCGTATATATATATATACATATATATATTACATAATAAATTAAAAACCAAAATTTCCATTTGTTCTACTCTTGAATTCCAAATTTCTAGTTAATAGAAATGTATTAAATATAAATTCAAAGAAAATATTATAATATATAAGAACTTAAATTGTCCTTAATGTTGTTAATAGACTATATTCTTAAATCTTAGTTCTCTTAAAGTTTTAACTGGATTCTCTGTAAATACAATTATTTGGTTTTTTTTTCAGTTTTACTATGAAATTAGAACAAAATTGTATTTTCTTGACGTTCTTAATCAGTGTAGCTATTGCTCGATACAACAATGGTAAGTTATGTAAAATAATATAAATAAATAGAAGTGTAGAATATAGATGTAATATTATAAGCATCAAGATAATATTAATCCATACTGCAATAAATTCAACRTAGTAAATACTAACATTTTAGTCTCAGATTCCAGAATTCAAGTTCTTGAGGTATTGAAGATATACTGAAAGTCTGAAACTAAATAATAAAGCGCACTATCGCGGCCGTCCAGCTATATTATACA